TGTTTGTGTTGGCCCCGTTAAACCTCAGTTATACAATATTACTCTTATAAATAATAAATAAATAAATGTTTATTCAGGTAAAGTACATACATACAAGAGGTTTTACAAAAGTTGATGGATTTATAGATAGAGCTAGTACATACAATGCCTAAAGCCACTATTACGCAAAGCATTTCGGGCAGGAAAAACATTAAAGACTAAAACTTAATACTATGTTCTTATGTTCTCTTATGTTTAAAGGAAATGTTATCAGAAAGAATCCAATTGCTTTTCTTACTTACACCTTGTATTTTCATTATGTTATTAATGTAAATATACTACAGTACTGTAACGTTGTTAGAACTACTAACTCCATAATGTAATAGTCTATGCCTGTCAGCCTAAAGTATTCCATTTTTTTTGCTTTCATTTGTTATTTTCCTTGAACATTCTCATTTTGTTAGCATCTTTAGTATTAAGTGTTTTAACCCGTCACACCTTTAGTTAATTTTTTTCAATATTATTTTAAGTTTTGCCCAAAACGCTGTGAGTAATAGTGGCTTCATTAGTATGTGTAACACTTGTCCCTGCAATTGAACATTACTCATATGTTCTTTGTACACACATTCTTTTGAATAAACATTATTATTATTATTATTATTTTTATTATATTATTATTATTATTGAGAAAATCCGTAGGAGTTGTGATGAGGGTTTGAACCTATGCGTTGGGTGTTCCTAGCCACACGCCCTAGACAACTAGGCCATGACATGGTCAAAAGGGGTACAACCTGGGGTACTACTGCACCCTCTAGGATTCCTGAGGCTTCTACTGAAGCCAAACCAGAGAATCTCTTGAGAGGAATCCTGCAGGACATTGTCTGAACTAAGAAGAATACTGTCAAACCAAACAGCACTGGAGGACTTTACGGTGAAATAAGGAGGCGGTGGACACAGCTAAAACTAGGCTGTGAAAACAGACAAGATCTCACCTTTAACATTAATAAGAGAAGGAGCTGAAGTCCTGTATTATCACAGTAATAATTAACAAAGTTGCAGTCCTCTTGGTGCAGTGGTAAGACACTCACCTGACGCTTTGCGAGTGCTTTGGCCTGGATTCGTATCCTGGCTGGGGAGGCTTGACCAGGTGCCAATCCTAAACTGTAGCCTCTGTTCAACCAGCAGTGAATGGGTACCCCGGATTTAGCGGGTCGTATTCCGGGGAAAATTAGGATTAAGGACTTGCCCGAAATGCTGTTGTTAAAATGCTTTACAAGAATATAAGAACTCTTGTATATATAAATAAATAAATATTTAACAGATATTATGTATGTAAATCATATTTACATACTCTTATTTAGCTCATTTACACCAAGTTTCTTTAATTTTCAGGTGATAAGGAAAAGCTTCAATATGCACTGAAACAGCTGTCACCAAAGTGCATCAATCATGTGTTTCCACACCCTGTTTATGCCACAGCTCTTCACATTGCCGCACAGAACAATTCCACAGAGCTAGTAGATTGTCTCCTTAAGGAAGCAGCTGACCCAAATGTTAGGGTATGTAACAATAGTTAAAACATGTATGTTGATTACTATTTTCATTTTGCCGGGTACTGGCAGCCCTTATGTATATGTGTGTGTTTGTCTGTGAGTAATTACCTAAGTGTAATTATAGGATGAGAGCTACGCTCGTGGTGTTCCGTCTTCCCAGCACTCTTTGTCATATAACGTACTCGATCAAAATATTTTTCTTATTTATTTTTATTTTATACTGTTGCATTTGTAGTATATTTATTGCATTGTAAAATTCTAATTATACAATACTGTACACTAGTTCACTTAGCTGTACGATACTGCATATTCTCCTTGTGCTTGTTGCGTTTCCAGTGTGCGGTCTCCTTGCTGGCTTTCTCCGAAGGACACGCTCTCTGTTGGTTGGTTGGTTGTCAAGTTCTATATATTCTGTATATGGTTTGGATATGCAGTATACATATTAGGCTCATATTTTGAGGTCCCCACCAAGGTCATATTACTGACCTTTTCCAGGATGCAACCCAACAAATTTACTATCTCCTGGGTACATATTTACTGTTAGGTGAACAGGTGCACTAGGTAATTCAAAATGTGCCCGAACAGTTCTGTCATGCCTGGGATTCAAACCCAGAATTCCTGATTGTGGGTTGAGAATGAACCCGACTGTACTACAGGTTTCGTGTCCCTATCAAGGCCACTTGGGAGAGTGTGGCCCTCAAGTAAATTCAGGTACAGCTCATTCTTTTCTATAAAAATGGAAATTTGGCTTCATAGCACCCCTCTCAAAAATTTAATGTTTGACAATATTACTACTCTACCATTTTCTCCATTTCTTTACTTCCACCTTTGTGAAGTGAAGGAGTGTTAGCAATTTTTAGTGCCTGCGTGTTGCGATTGAATTCTAGCTTCCATATACTGTATTTATCCACTCCTGCAGATTGCCAAAGTCTTCTTGCAGTTTTCCGCATTCCTCTGTAAAAACAGTGTTATCGCTTATTTTTAAGTTGATTCTCTATATTATATTCAGTCTCATGCTAAATACAGTATATTATATGAAAACATGCCTTGTAAATAACGGACCCCAAAATTCATAAGGATAGTACAGTATATTTCTTGATACAGTACTGAACTCGAGTATAAGCCTTTCCCCAAGCACACACATATAATAATTTCAATTACAGTTTAAATAAATTGTATTAAAATTAGTTTCAGTTTTGCCTGAACCGCTTTGCGTAATATTGGCTTCATTAGTTTGTTTGCTCTTGTCCCCACAATTGTACATTACTCTTATCGTCTTGTATACACATTCTTTTGAATGAAAATTTGAATTTGATTTTAATAGTACAGCATTTTCATTAATTTTCTCATATTTTGTGTATTTAACAAGTTGTATTTCCACAGGACCTACGTGGGAAGAAGTACTGCCCCATACATTATGCTGCACATAATGGAAACTTAGAAATCATACAGGCACTTCTTCGAGCAGATGCAGATCCTGATGCAAAAGAAGGCGAGTTTGGTCGCACAGCGCTCCACATCCTTGCTACTCGATGGAAGACTAACGAAGATAATTTTAAAGCTTGTCTTGATGCTCTTCTGTCATGCAAAATTAAAGTAGATACTGTAGACAGCAGCCAGTCTTCCCCTCTTTTTATGGCTGCTACAAAGAGTTGGGAGTACATGACACGCCAATTGATTCTTAAAGGAGCCAGTATTGACCTTGCTGTGGGAAATAAGACAGTTGCTGATGTTATCCGCAAGAAGTTACCTGGTCTTCTTGAAACAATTGACTTTTCTTTAATTGAAAAGCCGCAACGATATTTTGGTGATGAGTTATATAAAGCTCTCAAGGATGGTGATTTGGAGGTATTTAGGGAAATCCTTTATGAGATTAAAAATTCTGGAAAGTCAAGTACCGATATACTTGAAGAGGACCATGGAGATTATACACTTTTACAGCGTGCATGTGATGATGGATTGTCTGACTTTGTAGAAGAGCTGTTAAAGAATGGAGCTGATCCAACAAAGAAAGATAATACAAGCAAAATGTCTCCAATCCTGTATGCTACAAGAAATGGATTTCACAAGATTGTGGAAATGCTTATTAAAACCATGAAAGAACGAGGTTACTTACAGAAAGGAGCTCTGAAAGAAACAGACTTACGGAAAGAAACTCCTTTGCATAAAGTGGTAAAAAGAGAATATCCATCGAAGAATGAAGGAGTGAATTATTATCGATGCCTGCAAATTCTCTTGGATAAGAAGCATTACCTAGACATAGATTACCAAGATGAATTTGACAACACACCACTACACTATGCTGTTCTTTGTGATGACCAGAGCTTTGTTCGTACTCTGTTATTAAATGGAGCCCACTTGGGTATACGCAACAAATTTGGAACTCTTGCAATTACCCGAATCCAGGCATCTGTGCTTGAGGAAGTTCTTAATGACTGCATTAAACATAAGAATAATGTGGCAGATCGTGACTTCGAAATCATTGTTCACTACAGTATGCTGGCTCCAGCACAGGCATCTCAACAGCCAGAAACTGAATGCTTGCGGTTCCTGAGTGGATCAAGAAATCATAGGCGATTGCTGCGGCATCCAGTTATTGATACCTTCCTGTTCCTTAAATGGCAGAGAATTAGACAGTACTACTTTTTCAATATTGCTGCCTACACAGCTTTCCTAATCTTGCTGACAGCTTATGTTCTGATCTATCATGGAACATTTATCCCTTTATCAGAGGATGTTTCACAGAATAATACTGAGATGCCTGATTTAAATGATACAACATCAAATGTAGAAACAGTCAGTGAAATGATTATGGAGAACTTGGTTATCAAATTTATCTTCAAAGGCATAATTTCACTTTTTGCACTCTACATAGCAGTGCGAGAAGGTATTCAGTTTTTTGTTTCATGGAAGCTCTACGTTTCTCGTTTAGAAAATTGGCTTGAAATCTCTATTGTTTTGCTAACTGCTGCTCTTTTATTTATTCCACTGGGTGAAAAGTCACTACAAAGTCTCTCTGCTTGGCTTGTACTCTTCTCATGGATCGAATTCATTCTCTTACTTGGTCGTCATCCATATTTTGCAGTGTACATCACAATGTTTACAACAGTCACTTATAATTTCCTTAAATTTATCATGATGTTTTCCTTCATGGTAATTGCATTCAGCATTAGCTTTTATTTGGTGTTCCAGGTTGATGACAACTTCATGACGTATCACCAGTCATTGTTAAAGACTATTGCAATGACAACAGGTGAAATTGAGTACACAGAACTCCCTCTCTCATCTTTCCCTGTTTCATCACATCTTTTATTTGTATTGTTTGTATTCCTAATTGTTCTGGTGTTAATGAACCTTCTAAATGGTCTAGCTGTTAGTGATATCCAACAGATCCAGCAAGAAGCTGAAATTGTCAGTTACAGTAGTCGTGTTGAGCTTATTTCCTATATTGAGTCTGTGTTTTTGGCAAGTCCATTCAGGCGAATTGTTCCAGGACCCATCACATGCTGTGAAACTGGAACTGACGACTGCTACCTTACATCCTGTTTGAACTCCCCCAACCCAGTAATGAAGCTCCTCAACTGGATGGGTCGACGGACACTCATGTTTCACTCCTGCCTGCGTGACCCTTATATAATTGTCTATCCCAACCGTGGTGTTGACCGTTGGCATGTCTGTGACTGTCACTCTTTCCATCTCAAGGAAACTCAGATTGAAGCAGCAAAGGATGTTGTTCTTGAGAAAGAACATGCAGTTTCTGATCATCGTCTCTCTGGCCTAGAGAATCGCCTAGATGAAGTAATGGCTGCCATTTCCTCTCTTACAGAAAAAGTAAACAAACATGTACTCTGTCCTTCTCCTCAGTGACTTACAAAATCCTCGGAAACTCTTCCAGAAATTAACACTTAATGTACTTGGATCTCATTGTGTGCTTAATAATACTGTACTGTATTAAAATGTTATTTGTAATGCATTAATATATTACATAGGTTAAAGGTGAGAAAATATGCAGAAACCTTATGTAAAATATTTCTGTGGAAATTACCAGCAGTTTTGGTATTTTCTGGTATTTAAATTATTTTCAAGATAAATTCTTTGTGCAATGCCATCTTATAGACCATGTTGACCAAATATAATGGGTTCATATTGTAGTTGGCATTTATTATTGATATTACATTGTTTAAATACAATACAGAGTAAAATAAATGTATATAATAAAGAACTATCTAGTGATTATTAGTTACTGATATGTCATTGGGACATATTATACTGTATTTTTGAATTATGAGTGAAATTTAATACCAGTTACAATAATTCCATTCAAAATAAGAATGATTTAATTGATTAATGCATTTGTTTTAATAATTTTATTTTATCTTGTGATAAAGCATAGGTTAAGGAAAATATATTTGTGATAGTATATAAGTGATTTTAAGATAAGTTATTGCTACAGCCTTATAACAGAAATTATTCAGTGGTGAAACTCCCTCCAGAGAAGCATACTTAAGTGCTGATATTTAAAGGACAGAAGCTTTAAGTAAGTTGTGGATATATGTAGTGTAATGTGTAATAATGTTAATGCATTAAATTCATGGCATTGTAGTCGAATTTGTCTACAGTCATGATCTTGGTTTGACTTGACTGGTGCTCTATCTTACCTTTCCTTTCTTTCCTGACTGAAGACCATAATTGTGTACTTAATTGTATTCTGATATAATTACTGTACTTAGAAATAAAATGGTTAATACAAAATGCAAAACTTAATTTAGTGTGATAATAATGTACAATATTATTAAAAAGCGTAAAGAATGTAGAATGTTTTTATACAAATTTCCTATTAGAAGTATTTGTATATAGATGCAATGTATGAGGTTTTAGTTACCATAATATTTGTTAGTGCTGATGCTAGAAAATCTTCATTGGTAAAATCCTATATGGTGTAAAACTAATTTTAACTATTATATTGTAGAGGATTTTCTTTTAAACAGGTAAATTTATATGATGGTAAAGACCCATACTTTTAATGAATTTGCAATTAAGACTTTTGAGATGATTATATAAAAGATAAACAGCAGACTTTAAAATACTGTCAAGTCACAAGTATGGCAGGTTGTGTACACGTCCACTTTCACAGCTTCCCTGACTGGAGAAGAGGAAGCTTATACCAAGTGACTGTACATTGTCAGTTGCCATCTCATTATTCTCTCATTTACTTGGAATTCATTATTTGACTTTCAAAAATTGTTCCATGACCGCTCCTATGTACATAGGAGCAATGTATGTACAATGTATGTAGAACTATATATATTTATGTACATAGTTCCCAAATTTATATACTTGTTTCTAAATTCATACCACTAACCTAACTTAGAGTCAGTTTGCATATATGTCAATATGTAGGAGTTAAAGTTGCATGAAAGACTGTTGTTTCATAATGATTTTCATAGGTACTCTGTGTAAAAATCTCTACTGCTTTTATTAAAGCCACTAAAATGAGGGCATGAGGTGAACGTTAGTGACCATAACAAATGTAATGGATCAGTTTATTCATTCTTGTAGAGACATTGGTTTCCTTAGAAGGACAGCAGGATATTATATTTGGCATGTATGGCAGTTATAGAGTTGGACTTAAAGTTGGCAAAATATGATTGTTGGTGTTAAGAAGTTACATTTTGTTGAGGTCTGTTGCTGCAAAGCCTAGTTTTCAGTGGTAACTCATAATTAAATATTCCATGGTAAATACATGGATCAATTTCATTTAGGAAACATTATTTTTTTGCAGTACAATAGAGATTTACAACATTGCATTTATACATACCGGTACATCCCAAAGGTCCTTAACCTTCTCTACCAATCATGTCATATATTATTTTTCTATTAATTCTTGATTGATTTTTGTGTTATCCTACAGTGCTGAACATATTTGTATCAAACAACTGCAAGCATGGATATTGTTGCTTATAATATTTCAGTAATTTGATTTGGTCTCCATAGCTTTAGTTTAACCCAATTTTGCACTTCAGAACTACTTGCTTGATCATGGCAATAACCTGTAGTTTATTCAAGGAGCATCTCAAGAACATCAAGAAATGTTCCACAATAACCAATACAATTGTAAATGTCTTAGCAGTATATTACATGTTAATTGATGTATTTAAGATGTTACAATTATTCCTTACCAGTTGAGCATTTTTAAACACAGCATCTAATGTATTATGTTTTATATTGAACTGTTTTCTTTCCTATTATGGTGGAAAATTGAAGTGGCTTTGATATTGTTCTCTTGGTGGTGAGTATTTTGTACAAGATATATGATTGAAATTTGCTGGATCAAATTAATTCTACAAGCTTTTACCTGAATTTACCTGAGGGGGGCCACTAACACTAGTGGCATCGATGAGGACAGGAAGCTGGCGGCACGTTGTAGGTCCCCCCATTTTCCAATTGCCTTGGTCTCTAAGATTCCAGAAGCTTATCACTTCTTAAATATTACCAAAACTGTTAATGTTATTATATAAAGTGCATATACATACTGTAATACTAACATTACCATTTTGAAAAATTTATGATTATACTGTATCAAGACATTTACTTGACTGTATATTCAGCAATTAGGCATGTATAACTGCCAGTCTTTCTTAATAGCAGGAAAAACAATATTAAACTGGTTTGCTGTAAATCGGTAAACTGTGTGCTTTGAAGCACAATATCTATACAGTACTGTCATATATAAATGCTTTTGTTTCTATCAAATTTGTTTTCACTATATTTAATGTGTGCAAATAAATTCATAAATAACATAATGAACTTATTTTCAGTGTCTTTGTATATGTAAATATTTAAATGTGGCAGACTGTTCAGTGAATTGGTGTGGGTTATAGTGGATTTTAAATGATGTAACAAAACAGTGCAGCTTGTAATGAATATCCTGAAGAGAAAATATACTATATTGACAAAATTTAATATTTAAGAATTTTGTTTTAATCAAATGGTAGGCAAAGTATACATACTAGGATGTATTGCCTTATACTGAATTTCTTTGTACAATTCCAGAAATGTGGCTGTTTTTGTTACAAATAAAATGGATTACTGTGATGTGCTTTAACTTAATACAGCACCTACACACATTTGGGGCTCAATTTTTTACAATAACATTATATGCATTGCCAAGTTCCAGAGACAACAAATTATCACATCAGTCACAATCAACTTCAAACAAAAACTTATCCCCCTCAATGTAGCATTCATTATCAAACATATTATTGGGAGGAGGCCTCTCATGTTGACCAGACCACACACTAGAAGGCCATGAGGCTTCTCATTATATACATAAAACTACCTGGTCAAATCATTGGCTAAATATTTAATCTCTTAGAGCATAAAAAAAAATTTAGGCCACATCTGACTAAGACCTACAAATCAAATCATGGTGACAACCATAGAAAACGTAACTTCTTGCAAGGGAAACAACTGACTGTGATCAGCTGACACTATCAACATGACCCCTCCAGCCCTCAGTGCCAGCCAGGCCAGAGGTCTTGACAAGCATGTGTCAAGCCTTGGCTGTCAACACGTGACGTGCTGCTGTGACACAACTGGCATCTCCACTTGTCTAGTCATCGGGAAGAGTTAAGTCCTCTCAAAGAATCTTAAGGAAGAAGATTGACATGGCAAGTGCAGTTTTCTTATTCAAAATGAGGTGGTGTTAAGGATGACAGATAACACACAAAGAATTGTAAAGGCATTGTTGATTGATAGGGTTATGTTACACAAATGTTTTAGTAAGTATTTTAATTAATTATCAAAGTTACTTCAATCATGGAGTCTTCTTTACTGCTTTCTCAGTAATGGAGCCATCTTTACATTTTTTTTACTGCTTTCTCAGTAATGGAGCCTTCTTTACTTTTTTTTTACTGCTTTCTCAGTATTGGAGCCTTCTTTACTGCTTTCTCAGTCTTGGAGGATTCTTTACTGCTTTCTCAGTCCTGGAGCCTCCTGCACTACTGTCTCAGATTGTTTGGTTCTACAGAGTGTTAAATAGTTATCCAGGCTTGGCACCTTCTGATAATTACTTACTATATCAATAGCAATGGGACACTTTTTTTTCCATCTACAGCAATATGATCTTACCTCCACAGCAATTAGAATTCCCATTACTACTCTCGCTGTCATGAGAATCTCTTTACCTTCTCCAACACAAAAAGTTGTGTATATGGCTTCCATCCACAGTTTAAGAGGAAGTACAACAGAACTTTAATGCATCGTATACCAACTGTTAGGAGGCGGGACCCTAGAGCGAGATCTTGTCCCTCACAAACTGATAGGTAAGCACAGAAATGAGAATTTCTTTACTTTCACAATACTATAATGCTTTCCTCGGTTTAGACAAACTGGTATACTGCCAATAATTACATTAAATTTAGGTTATTAATAATACACGACCTGATGTGGTAAACCAATTTCTACAACACAGCTGGACATGAGTTTTATATGACACTGGGAAGCTACTGTGTTGGAATAGTCTGTTCCAAAGTTATGTACTGCCCTTAAGCAAGAACTATAAAACTTTTTTTAATCTAGACAATATTATAAGGGTTTCCATCAAACTTAAAAATTATGGCTTCTAGTAAATATGAAAACCCACTTTGATCCATGACTAAGGTAAGATCTGCTCTTTTCTTAGGAGAATGATGACATTCTTGGCGACGGTGCATGAAAATTTTGAAGTGGTCCCTGCAGGGTCAATAAGGATGTAAGGACATTGGAGATAAGCTCAATGGCCTACACAGATGCCTTCCATAAAACTCAAAACTGTGTAAACATTCTTCCTTGTGATCATATAAGAATTCAGGATGGATTTCCATATCACCCTTCGTCATTTTGCTTTCTTAACCTGAGTGTGACTACCTACAGGCGGAGGTTTTATCATATCCTTTCCGGTTTTAGTTTAGTTAATTTATTATGCACCCCATACTCATCCTGTGGGCAGTAGTAGAAAGTGTTAAAGAGGCAAATACTGGGCTCAGGGATTGAACACCAAAATTCCTTTAGCTAAGCAAATTAATCTTGATGAGTTAGTTACAAAATTCAATGCACATTGTCACATCAACAATGGGCTCATGACTGATCACAAGTAGTTTCTAAATTAAGCATCTGACATGTGGAGAGCTAGTGTCACGATTAATATGTTCACCCTGCACACCGCCTTCCTATTCAGTGGGGAGTGGTGGATAGGATACCATCCATGTTTCAGGAAGATAATTCCTTATTTCTGCCTCAAGTCTGATTCACCACACCATTTGGGAGTGGGGACAGGCAAGCCACTTATAAAATAAACATTTCCTATGTCCTGCCTGCCTGCTTGGACTCTGCAGGATATAATGTTATTTAATACTGTATGTAACTCGGACCTTACTTTGACACTAAACATGTTTGGCGTTCAGATCTCCTGCTGCTACATGGCTCCAGTACCAGGTCCTGGATTCCTCTTGGCTGGTTCGGTTGTTGCTCACAGGCATTTGAGTGGAAGGGAATTTTCTGTTTAAAGTTACACTTTCATGGGCTCTGTTGGACTTCTTGAATAGAGCACATCTTGTACCTGTTCTTCCTCAAAATATTGTGACTTTCCAGCTCCAAATCCAAGGTACCAAATTGCAATAGTACTGCATTGGGGTCCCGGTAGTTCAGTTGGATTCGTTCTCGACGCATAATTGAGAATTCCAGACTGGACAGAAATGGTTGGGCACATTTCCTTTTACCTAATGCCTTTGTTCACCTAGCAGTATGTAGATACTCAGGACTTAGTCAGCTTGTTGTGGGGTTGCATCCTGGGAGGGGTCAGAAATTCGACCTTGGGGGGGGGGGGAGGGGGGGGGGGACCTCAATAGAAGCCAAAACGTGTATGAATACACCCTAGTTTCCTGTCCCCCAACACAATGAATTACAGGTATTATAAATTATTGTGGCAGTTTTGAGGGACCATCTTGCTTAATTGATGTATTGAAAGCATTTGCTTTCCTCAAACTTTTTTCTTGTTTTTTTCCTTCCTAACTCTACATGGAGATCAGCTTGAAAATTAAGGTTGAGTTTAATTTCTGTTGTTGCAGTGATTCTTCTTTCCAGTCGTTAAGTAAAGTATTCCTGTTGAACTGTTCTTCCCGAGTGTGATTGGAATTGTTTTGTGGGATAGTATGTAAGGCCGAATCAGTGTTGTTTATAAGTGAACAGTAATAAGTGTTGATGTGCCTAACTTCTAAAGAGGAGAAAAAAAAAGAGGTACAAATAATTATAGCTATTTCACAAATTTTTGGAGGCATTAATAAAATATTAAATTTATGCCAAGCTCTAGAGCTTTAACCTGTGTATATGTTATCTAATCTTGTAAACAAAACTGTGTCAAATTCATTGAAAGAAGAATACTGCTCAGCTTTATAATGCAACTGGAAATACTGTACTACTCAGACAAAATGAGACCCTTCGTAAGTACAGTAGTAGGTTTCCTTACCCATAGTGGCTGCATGTAAATAAAGGTGAAAAATTATCTTGAACTAAAATGACTTTTAGCATCATTTCCATTTAAAGCATGTCATTATTATCTGTGCTCTTTATTCAATAATCCAGAATAATTGCATGATACTTATTTGTGAACACAATTAGGATGGCGCAATAAGAAAAATCAGATTGCCTAACATTTCTTTGTAATTTTCATATTATAAAATTTGTATTACAAATGCTCTACATTCAAAATTTTATGTAAGAATAATTTATTACAAAAAATCTGGTAGAAAAACCAAGCAACAAATTAAAGTGATTTGCCTGCACTACAGTATGGTGTGGTGCAGTGCTGTATTTGATCCTATCTGAGTGTGTCGGAGAACAAAATGAGAATGAATACTCAAATCTGAGGCAATGTGGTATGAATACCGGGCTGGTGGTACAGTACAAGTAGAGAATAATATTTTGAAGGATATACAATACAATACTGTTCACTTAAATCATTACAGGTGCTGCTTTGGCTGCCAATATTAATAAAATTTTAATTACTAACCATTTTTATGTACACAGTAGTACTGTAGTTCCAAGGATTTGTAAATATATAACAGAAGGTCAGTTATCATTTTTTACTTGAAGAGTATTCAATAGATACGACACTTGAAAATAATTTATGAAATTCACAAAACAGAGATATGAACTGCCTAACAAAATTATATAAATAGTTTGTTACTTTTGTGATTGCATGAGCTGATTATTTTGTTGAAAAGAGTGGTGTAAATCCAGAGATATCATCATCTTGTGTTGTAGGAGTGTTAGTAAGAGCTGGTAGGTCTGAAGATGAGGAAGCGTCGAACACTGTTCCTCTATTGTCCTCAATCACGATGACCTCATAAGGGTAGGAGTCAAGCTGGACAAATAAATACCTAAACTCCCAACCAGATGATGTCTGTAAAAAGATCAAATCCAATATCAGACTTACTTATACTGCTAGTACTGTATTTAAATTATATACAAATTTCTATATGACAAATGACAAGGAATTCTATTTTAGTTTTCAAGTTAAGTATATAACAGTTTGAAACAAAACTTGATGGAAATGTCAGAGTTGAAATGACCCAGTTCAATATTATTATTTTACTCAATGAAATATTTTCTTCAGACAAAGAGTAAATCCTCATAAGATAGCCCAAGCTCCAAAAGCTTGATAAACTTGTAATAAGTAGGACACAGTTTAAAGATTTTGCTATAACTCATCAACAAATACACAAAATATAAGTTAACAAAATCAAGCTCGCTCTCTCTCCAACACTGAGGAGAATAATTTTCAGTTCTGTCTAATTTATACTCTAGTTATTTTCAACAGTATACATTGAATTGCATTCTTTTATACTACAGTATGTCTAGCATTATTTCTAAATTTGATTTCCTTCTTGGTAATACTGTAGGTATGAAATGCTCGGCTCTTTGTTTTTTCCTAATGGTAAATATGGAGCAATTATCCTTAATGACAGATTCCAAACACAGTTCAGATTTTATATTCTTATACAGTAGACAGTTAAAATAATAAAAATTCCCTTTCTTAACGTAAAATTTTCAACAATGTTTTCAACGTTATGAAGAATGAATTATCAACAGTATGAAACTATAGTACAGTATACTAACTTCTCGAGCATCAACATTGGCTGTTGCTGTCCTTCGATGCCCCTTCAGGTAGAACTTGATCCTGAGTCCCTTCATGCCTTCCATCTCATATGACAAGTGACTGTAAAAATGATGGGAAAAGTTTTATTTATTTAAAAAAATTGTAAAATTGGATAGAGTCAAAAAAGATAATGTACAGTATTTCACAACAAAATGATTTGTTAAATTATGGAAAATAAAATCTATAATTATGTTCCAATGCATAGTTAATAAGACATGTATTGAGAAAAGGGTTATGAAAATAACCTGAACATTTAAATGAAAGATGAAATTTACACAATACCTATTATTGTAAAATATTTAGTTCATTGGCTGTTTCACCTTCATCTCAACATCTTGTATTGAATATTACCAAGTGGAAAGAGGGGATTTTCTCAACATCATTCTCATGTCACACGTTGTTCATTAAGCACTACACATTTCTTCATAAGAATTCAGAATGGAGGAAAAAATATACAGTATTTATATTGACAATTAAATATTAATAAATGATGCTTTGTGCTTAGAGGAGAAACTCCCCAACAGAAAAGAGAACACAAGACTTAAGTAGATCCAGGAAGGCACCAACAGTACTGTACATGGGAGTGGTGAAATAAAAAAAGATTTACATGAGACAATAAGAATTCACTGATTAGATGTGTTCTAAACAAAAACGCAGTAATGATGAGCCATAACAAAGCAGTTTGAATGAACATGCAAGCCATCAAAACACCAACACTGTACATCAATACCTACAAAAAAAAAAAAAAAAGAGGAGTCTCTTTACCCCTTAATACTGACACATGGTCCCTTCACATCTAGACTGGAATGCCCTTCAATTAAAAAAGAAAGTTACATACAAAATGTTATCACAAGCAATGTGACATGCAACAAAAAAAGTGAACCCGTTAGTGCTTCAAATGGAAGTTTATACTACTACTTCACAAGAAATGAGGCACAGAAGAGGCCACTGGGTTTGACCACCATCAAGTAATAATGAGAATCATGGAAGGTGGCAGTCCAAAGGAACAATGTTCAAGGAAACATGACAAACCACTGACTGGAGATAAGAGTGTACTCTACTGCAAATATACCCAAAAAAATAATGAATATGGGGAGAAAGACCATCTTATTGTAAGTGTAGTGAATGCAGTGCTACCTATATCATGATAGCACTGTACTTATATAAGAAATTGCAGCCAACCAGGGTGCTGACTTGACTGCGCCAAGTTAGCACCCTGGTTATCGCCCAATCACCCAGTCTTCAATATATTAAGCCTTAGATTACCTGATATGCTGCCGTCGTCCCCGACGACTCTCCTCACCATAACTCTTCACTGAATCCCCCAGAAAATCAACAACTCTGGGATGAGCAACACATTTCTTAACAGCTGCACTGTAAACTGTCTGGAAAAAATTAAATATACATAGGAATCAGATCATGTAAATCATTTCATAAATGATTTATGTTTGAAATATATAAAAGGTAAATCAGGTAAATGTACATCAAATTAAAATGAAATACAGTACAGTAGTTTATTTCCTCTCTTCCAGAAAGTAAATTAAATAACTTCTGATGCAAGTTATGACTAAGGTTCTGAAAGCTGGTTCATGAGCTTCAGATCTGATATCAAACTATATTGTGATAAATGCCTTAATATTATTCTCTCTATTCATAGCCACATTGTTTCATATATGTACATTTTTTACTAAATAAAAAAATATAGAAAAATTTAATAGCATCATTCTTGCAAAAACCACTGTATGCAAGAACTTTGTTTTTCAGTTTGATTAATCTATACAGTGTATATGAAAAAGCACAATACCTGTGGCGAAAAGGAGGAAAGTAGCTCTTTGAAGACTGAATACATCATAAGGCCAGTGACTCCTACACCCAGCACCACCACAGCAGTGTAGTATGTGGTACGCGTTGCTTCTTTGGCTGTAATGTAGTAAATTTCCATCTATTGTAAACAAGTACTGGTGAGACAATCTTGTATTTAGAGAAGAGGGGAAGGCATGATTTACAAAATTCATACAAAAAACTTAGGTCTTTGAACATGAAAGGCATCTAAGTATAATCATTTGGATGCTCTTTAAGGCAAGATATATTGTGTATGTAGACCAGGATCATGCAGATAGCACTGACACCGAAGTATGTTTCCTGTGGTCACTGCAAGGTTATTATAGTTGTTAGGGAGACAATAAAGATTTTTCAATCCATCCCAAAATGACCAACAGAAATTCCTTCCAAACCCTCCCATTGCAGCCTTCTTAATAGAGGAAATGATGTATTAAATGAAGGACTCATCACATACTGAATTGAAGAATACAACAAACATGCAAGAAGAACCCATTTGGTCTGGAGCCCCAAACCTTAGAGGAATCTAAGGAAAACCAGACTGATTCTCCAACCATTGTCTCCGGCACACAAATTTCCCTACTACACATCAAATACAATCCTAGTTACATGAGACACTGCACAGTTATCCCTTAAAAACATTTCCTGATTACCTGCCTCTCTTACAATGTATTTAAGTTTTATCCTCCAGGGGAATGTTGGGGGCCCATCCAACACCACTGTTACCATGGTTCTTAAATTTAATAATACTCATACACAAATTTTCAATGAACCCTGGAATAAGCACAGTCTGAAAATAATCATAATCAAAAGACACTCAAAGTTCTGTAAACACACACTATTATAGGCACTGCTTGGCACAGCCAAGCCAATAAGCACAGGCTGCATTGATGCAAAGAGTGAAGAAAAAACACATGGATCAGCTTTGAGAATAATGGACCATTGTTGGTTATTGTGGATTTCAATAAATGCTCTCCAGTGACTGCATAGTGTCTTAACGAATGGCATCGTCTATGCATATATGTCATCCTAGATTGTGCATAAGCCTGTCCTTATAGACACATAAGATATTACCTTATGGAAAAGCCAAAAATGATACCTCAGAGATGCACTTATTACACAAGACAAACAAAGAATAGTGTGGAACCACAAATTAGCAGCTTTATTACAACAATTATTTCATGATGTAAAACATTAGTTTCTGAAAAACATTGAATGGAATTAAGATGACTCACCTTTCTGGCCAAAGCTGCCTGATGTGTCAGATCTGACATGCTTAGAAACGGATTTCCTGACACTCTGTAAATGCTGATTTGTGGAAAACTGATGACTGTTACTGTTGAACAGCCACAGGTGATTGGTAAGCTGTGATCCCACACACCTCTGACATATGGCTTTATGAAGAGGGGAGAGAAGCATGGCACTTGTCTGGAAACATAAGGAGTTGAAAATTAATATCTTTTAAACAGCTAGAAATACCACACTAGTATTGCCTTTAATTGGCATTACACTATGGTGTAAGAGAGAGCTACAATCACTTCAATCACTTCAGTAATTAACCAGTCTAACCAAACTGGATGTCACTTGGTATTTCAAGGAACAGTTTGACCAAGATAATCTCAAATTGTGACATAGCATTGTAAATCTGTTAGTTAATCCAATGAACTACAATACTGTTATCAATAAAACTGAAAATTTGCTTAACAAATACTGAATTCTTCAGACTACAAGAAACTACTAGCTAATGTAGAACTATTGCTATTGTTGAGTAAAGGGAAAGAATAGAACTATGATGTATACAGCTGTAATTCACCAAAAAGTATCATAAAGTTTAACCCAGAGCGACAAAAATTATCTCAGAAATAACTGGAATCATCCCAGAAATAAGTCGGCTCATACTGGGAAAATTTGTAGGCCTCAGGACTAGCAACACTACAACTAAGCATGACTCCACTGATCACTTCAAGACCTTTAAAGGGCAACAGCTTCATGGGGCAACACGCAACAATGTAGGACAGAAAACATGGGATGTTCTTTTACACATAGGGTAATAAAACCTATTGAAGCACCTGCCTGCTGAAGCTATAAATGCCAAGACAATACTCCAGTTTTAAATTCAGCTGGAAAAAATCCTCAAGAATATTGGAGGGAACTTTGACAAACCTTCCAGCTGCCTGTTCACATTGAGGGCACTAGAAACTGTGGCCCTCAGGCAAGCTCGGGTAAGCTTAAGATGGCACCACCTTTTCTTGTATGATACATAGTGTTTATGCATATATGCACCTTGTATGATACATAGTGTGTACAACTACTGTATATGCTATACTACTCACTAGTCTATCCTATCTAACATGCAGTATCTATGCATGAGGTTCAGTCACTGCAAACTATGCCAGCTATCACCCAGCAAAAATCAGCTATCGTATCAGAACTATTATAAATTCTAACTTCAGATAACACACAGCCCAATGAGCATCATACCAGAAATAAATGTATCTTTAATATTATCAGTCAGACTAAATCTATGCAACCATGCCACTCAAATAAAAGGACTCGATATATGGAACTTGCTCCCTAATGACTTAAACAATTGTCCAACCTACATTTTATTAAAAAGTAGAACTATAAAGTACCTAATTTCATCTTCATAGTATCCCACCTTGTGCTATTAACTCTCACATTATATTGTGCCCAGTATATTACAATATACAATTTTATCACTTTATCATGATGTAGTTATGTGAATTCAGATTCTGTTACAATGTAGCTATCATTACGCTTATTTGTTAGCTTAAGGATCTGCTCGAAACATTGTGTGTGCTATTGGTTTTGTAAGAATGAACTAGTCAACTACCAACATATATCTTTAACAACTCATTGTATTCTCTTGCATATGAATAAACATATAAATAAATACATCTTTATGTTTAATACAGGCTTATAAGACTTGTTGAATACACTTGAATACATGATAGTGTAACCAGAATTGTATGTAACATTGACACCTTTAACATAATTAAGATCGAAGGGTTTATTATTATGACATTTCTCCAATTACTCCTGAAAAAAATAGTAGGGGAAGCTAGTGGCTTTGCAACCTAAGTGGTAAACATACTCTGCGTTTACAAAATGTAATAATCATCAGCTGATAGACGTGTAGGGGGTTTCATTCCCTGAGCCCATTATGTGCCTCTAACCTTTTCCTGTACCGCCCACGGGACGGGTATGGGGGGGGGGGTCCGTCTAATTACCACAAGCTACACAAGCTTCACAAAGCTTCCTGGCAATACGTTAGTAACGAATAATTATGATATGTTAGGTTAGGCTGACCTAACCTAAACTAACATAACCTAACCTAACTTAACCAAACCAAACCTAACCTAACCGACGCTTGGATCGTCGACTTTTTTTGGCGTCACCAGCACTTTATTTTCGTCTAATTTCTTAATAAAAATATACTTTTTCAGATTAAAATTATGTTTTCTCGTGTTGTACATTCAGCACCAACATTATAATGAGTAAATATATCATATTTATTCATTAATAACATAAGCTTTCTGAAGGTTTGTGAAGCTTGTGTAGCTTGTGGTAATTAGACAGACCGGTATGGGGTGCATAATAAATGAACAAAGCCATCAAAGTGATAGACATGCCAGCCAACAGGCATTAACTGGCAAACATACTCAATGTTTTCAAGGGTTAATAGCCATCAGCTGGTAAACATTGCTCTATGGTTATATAAGGTAAGACACATCAACTGATATAAACATGCCTTAGTGTTTACCAGAGCCACATGCACTGAAGAGGGTTACAACCGGCAGTGTTTACACGATCAGCTGATAATATTTACAAGAGAAGTTGTGTCGCTGGTCACCAGGTGGCGGGGTTGTGCCGTGGGTGGGGAGGGGGTTGTGAGGGGTTGTGAGGGGTGTGAGGGGAGAGGAGGAGGGGCAGCAGGCGAGGGAGGCCAGTGAACATGCAGACCACTGGAGTGTGTGTGTGTGATGGCCACAAGTGTACAGCCGCGGCCCCGTCCTCCCACCATGACCGCTGACAGCACCACCAGTGTAGGTATTCCCTCACTAGCCACCTGCTCCTTAACTTGTGTCTTATGCCGCACCTTAGATATTTTTATTTTATTTTTGTACATATATCTTTCCCGCCCGGTTTCCGTGACGCAAACGGGTACAGGCAGTGATGCAAGTCAGCTCTACAGGCTATTTTCGTCTTTTAATTTTCTAAAAATGTGGAAAAAGTGTTGGTTGTATAATAGAAATTCGTTGTACTTCATTTTAGCTTATTACTATAATTAATTTTCGAAACAAATTGTGTAAAACATGTTATAATTGCTGCGAAGGTTCCTGGCTTAAATAGCCATATATCTTTATACAGGCTGAAATATATATAGTTATTTTCGTAAATATAGAACCGCAGTGTACTGAATCACGTTCTTTACCAGTGTGCGGCGCTCCTAGTGACGTGATAAAATGTTTTTCAATTACTCCCGCATGTTAGATGACGCAAATATGTACGTGTACCTGGCACTCCACATGCTCCTGGGGACGTTGAAGTTGCCCGAGTGACCCTTGAGGCATTGGCTACAACGGGGGGTAGAGAAATTTATATGAAAATATCTGTGGTCATAGTTCCCTGAAGTAAACAAACCCAATCACCTAACTCTATACTCCGTCGCGCTCTACGATTAATGACTGCTCCACAGTGGTTGATTGTTCAATAAACCCCTGAACTATATGTTTAACACATCTCGAACCCTGTCCATGGAGGACAGAAGAAAATGTATATATGCTGCTTAGCATTGTAAATGTGTGGCCACGTCTGTGGTAGAAAATAATAAACAAAAATGACTGCTCCTTCCCGAGAGTGAATGTAGTTGGGGTCGAACCCATGCTTATATGTGTATGATTTTACATGTAATTTTGGTATGCTTGTGTCGTTTCTCATTTGTATATTCCTGAGGATGTCACGTTGTTGATGAAACGTCGAAATACCACTACACCAGCAATTGGTATAGTGGTACTAGTACTGTGGTAGCCAGTGGGGTGATCCCTGGTTCGAATCCTGATAATTATTTTTGGTGATCTGAAGGATCAGATCAGCCTACAGGTAAGGGTGTGATCACCATTACCTGCAGGCCAGAGTGTAGGCGGGCCAGCCATAAAAATCCTGGATGGGCACCAGTTCGCTCCTCTAGACCCTACCATGCAGTGAGTTCAGTAACGTTTTGGGTTGGTTGGCTTTTGTCCAATCGTGGCCGAGTGGATTAAAACAGGTGTCTAGGAATCACCAGAATGCTGGTTCAAGTCATCGCATTGCCTCAAAATGATTTTCTCATTGATATATCATGTCTTTGTGATCACTTTGTTATCTGAAGGAGGGGCGTACATTACTTACAGACTAGAGTTGGTATGCCAGTCGTAAAGATCCTGGTTGGGCACCAGTTTGGCCCTCCAGCATCTTCCAGTGAATTCAGCAGAATTCGTTTGGTTGACCTTTGTCCTATTATGGCCGAGTGGGTTAAAGCAGGTGTCTGTGAATAATCACCAGAACGCCAGTTCATGTCACTCAATTCCCACAAAATGATTTTCTCATTGATATATCACACCATTGTGATTTCTTTGTGATAAATATTTAAATATATTTTATATTTCATTCATTTTGGGCACTAGGAGCTTCGAACACCCAACCTCCGGCATGGGAAACAGTAGCTCTATCAACTGTGCTACTGGGCCGTGTGATCGAGGCTCCTATAGTGCCCAAGGTGAATGAAATATATCCACGGTATTGTGGTCAACAGTTTATATAACGTTTCGGGCAGGTTAACCTTAATCCTAATTTTCCCTGGCATACGACCTGCCAAATCGTTTTAACAACCAGGTACCCATTTACTGCTGGGTGAACAGAGGTTAAGGATTGGCGCCTAGTCAATCCTCCCCAGCCACGATACGAACCCAGGCCAAAATCGCTTGCGAAGCGCGTGGGTTACCACTGCGCTTCAGGAACAACTTAAATATGTTAAAGCGAAAATTAATATGGCTTGCAAACACTGTTGAGATGTTTAGACTATAATGCAACGAAATGTATTTTCTGCTCGAATAAGCTGAGATTGTGACATATTGTGTAGTGTAGTTACTGACCATATTACATTTGCGAATATGTATTCACTGCACAAAATAGTAATACATAAGATGAACAAGTGTTTCACATTTATAGAGTATTACTTTATTTTTGTATTCTTTCTGCTACATTTCGGTAAATTTGGGATTATATATAGAATGCACATTACTTTTAAATTTTTATAGTTTACATTACATTGTGCTGACTCTTACCATCATCATATTTTGTAGTGGAACGGGGGGGAAAAGTTGAAAACTCTGATCCCCCATGTTATATCACTTGAGTTATGAGGTTTGACAAGGCTGGATGTACAGTTAGAATATTGAACTAGAATTTTCATTGTTTAAATATCGAATCTTCAGGCAGTTTGGCATTTGTTTTAAACTTTGTTTTTAACTTCGTAATTGAATCCAGTGGCTATGTTCCAAATGATAACAAACCATCTTCAAAATATTTACTCTAATATAAAGTGAGTTTCATATTTTGTGTGGTGTTCGATACCCGATGGTCCAAGTGGTTGGGAACCGTTCCTCGACTCCTTCTTTCACTTGTAGAACAGTGGTTACCACCTGCGGCTCGCAACCATTGGACAATTAGTCTCGGTTTTTGGCAAAGTCAAGACTTCTAAGCCCCTTTGATGCCTCTATTCACCTAGTAGTAATAAATAGGCATCCTGGAGTTGCGGGTTGCATCCTGAGGAAAGCGAGTCGTTGACCTAAGGGAATCAATATAACCTTCGTAACATCATCGGTAGGAAACGATAACCCTGTCAAATGCTATTTAGTTATACAGCATAACACTTTCCCTTGATGGTTACCTTACCTTCATGTTATTACAAAATGGTGAATGTAAGAGTGTTTACAGCGTGAGGGTAACCAGTGAGGGCAACGGTACTTGGATGGGTAGTGATGGAGGCTAACACCATACTCAAATTATAAATGCAAATAAAACCTACAGGATTAGGGAGGCATCACACCAGTTCATTAATTGATAAGAGGCGGGACCTATGAGCTGGAGTTTTGTTTCCACAAATACATTTCTATCAATAATTCTAAATAACCCTCGGAGATTTTCCCTTGCTTTATTTTCATTTGGGGGTGAGGATCATTCAAGTCGAGCAGTGAAATTTATTAGGCCTAGGCCTCTATAATTTATTTAATTTTTTTCATTGGGAAACTTACGAACAATACAGTAATTTTTAAGGTATCTTATTATTTTCTTTACGAAAACATCTCTATTTTGCATTATATGCCAGTTTCGTCATATTTGGTGAATTAAAACAGTCCTCGAGTCATTGTTATTGCTTGGCAGTATAGTAATTATTTGTTAGTAATAGTTGGATGTTTGGTTGTTGTAAGAAACGTTTGGGTGGATATAAAAGAAGCTGCCACGAAAGGCCAAGAGGCCTTTCGCAGTTTCTTTGATTCTTATGTTCTTGTCATATTTATGAAGATGATTTTTACATGAAGCTGAAAATAGGAAAAGGCTTTGGATTTATGTGTTTTAAAACAAGATGATCTTAGTGGTATAAACAGAGGAAAACACATTAAAATACACGCAGTGTTTTGTTATGTAACGATGAGTTTGCAGGTGGAGCAAAAACACCAACACCAGGAGACATTGACTCAGCCACTATCAGGCTCGTCATGTCCTGGCGTAGGCCAGTGGATGTGTCTGGTGCGTTCTCCGTCTCTCTCCTTCCTATAATAAGTTTTCGTGTGGAATAAAAAACTTCTAACGCAGGGGTAACTATGTGTTTAGCTAATTTTGGCTCGTTTGATACTTATAAAGCGATATATAAGTAAGATCATATTCCATTGAGATGAGGATTGGTTGGTGATTATTGGGAGGAAGATGTCTCAGCAATCTCCATCAACTATGATATTTTTTCTGGATACATCTCAAGTTCGCAACACATGAAAACACTATTGGTATACACAGAAATCACAATAGCGTGATGCATCAAATGAACAAATTCACAAGGGCCGTGAGGTTCGGACGTAGGTTCGAACCCCTCATCACGGCCCTTGTGGATTTGTTCACTGCTGATATGATTGTATTGTATGCATACCCCACACCTATTGCAAAATCTTTGTTATGCAAAAAAAAAGATCACTATCACTAGGTGATATATATTCTGCATGCTCATATATACACAGGAACACGTAGTACGTATTTGGCAGCCTGTGGTGCAGTAATTAGCACAAGCCTCGCATAAGAGAGACTCTGGGCCAGGATTCAACAAGCACTTACGTGCCGACTTACGAGAACTATACGTGTTAGTCTGTATTAACTAAACAGTTTATGAGATTATCCTTGATCCAAAGTTATTATTGTTGTGAACGACTTTGTAGCTTCAGAGCTCGTAAACTGCGTAATAAATACACTCAGCCGCAGTGAACACGGTTGAGAGACAAATGTCGAAAGTGGACACTGTTCTGTGACTTCTTACCCTTGAAAACATAAGGCTGTCAAACCTCATAGTTTCAATACCTCAGCCATGGCCTAATTTTTAAACACAGCATATATTTACAATGTAATTGTTATTGTTGTTTTAGATTCAGCTACTCGGAACAACAAGTTCCAAGTAGCACGGGCTATGGTGAGCCCGTAGTTGACTTACCCGGCACAGGAGCGGGGTTGTGACTGTAACTGGTTGTAATTGTTATTGTTTTTGTCCGGTCGAGGTCCAACCTGTCCTTCCAATAGAAAAACGCATTTTGACGTATATTCTACCTAAGGCCAAAAATTGTCATACTAGAAAATGGCAGCAGCTCGTGAAATTGACATACTGTCACGTTTTCTGTTTTGGGTCCTCAGGTAGGTTAGGGTAAAGGCACTTTACTACGACACGTTGGGATATATCTTAGGAGGACAGTAGCTTTGTCTGCGCTTCCATACATGCCATAGTGGCAAGTTTATGATGGATGTA